GGAGCAGGGTGTCGCCAGCTGGGAGGAACTGGGGCAGTTCTGGCAGCTATAGAGGAACCATCAGCAGAGTTTAAACGTGGGCACAGACGTGCTCGCTTAGCTGAGCCCCAGCATCACCAGTAAAGCTCAAGCTCAGGACTAATTGCCTGAGAGATTCGAGCTGAACTCTACACCAAAACTCCCGCTAACCCAGATTCTCCCAGCAGCGTCCAGTTTCCAAATACTTCTCCTATAATCAAGCCCCATGAAAACTGAGGGAGAATTTTAGAGAGGCCACTCCTAAATCTGAAAAGATAGAACGCTGTTTAAAAAGGAGAAGTACCACCTTCTCCTTCAGTTTGGGAAATGATTTTATTCCCGGAGCATCAACACAGCGGTTTGTGTTTGAAGACCTGCCTGGATGGGGGTGCTGGACATCGGCTTTGTCAAACACAGCCAGAAGCAAATGCTTTCTGCTTGGCCTTAAATAAACTAGACTCAGTTACAGGTTAGGTGATGTTCTGTGAAGTCTTTTTTTTTTCTTTTTTTCCTGTTTAATCTTGCTGCTCCCACCTTTCTCTCTGCATATCTAAGGTTCCAGAATGCGAATAGTATTGCAGATACCTCTTGTTTGAAATAAAGGATCAAATGTGCCATGATTTTTTTTAAAGGAAGAAAAAAAAAAAAAAAAAAAACTTTCCCCCTCGATTTATTTTTTCAATGTTTTCGTATATAAGAGCCAAGCAGTGACATGTACAGAAAATATCTTTGAATATTAACAAAGAAAAAAAAAATCTTGCTGTGTGTTCAGAATATTGAACAATTAACTGTTTATATTAAATTTCTGAATAAATTATCCAAGAATAACTGTTCATTTTGTGTCTGCTGTCTGTGCAGCGACTGGATGCTGCTTTACCACAGAGAAAGCACTGAATTCGTGTCGTGGAATAAGCAATACTTTCAGTTGCAAAATGAATGGTGTTAAGAAAAAAAATAAAAAATATAAAAAAAAAAAATACAGATCTGCCAATTACAGGCTTGTGGTCTGCAGCCAGCTGAACTCCTCTGCCTGATGGCTTGGCTGTGTCCTCACCGTGGGGTTCTCGGCAGCCTGATGCCATCGGGTAAACGTTGGTAAAGGGATTTTTTTTCTTCCTTCTCTGTACTGGAATTCTGTTATTTCCACATGCGTGGACCCAGGCTTCCCTCCCTGTAGGCAGGTTTGGGGTTTTTTTTAAATTTAAAAATCTGAGGCTGTGTTTCATCCCTGTCCGGCCGCTGAGTAACCAGGTTTGCAGCGGGAGCCCTCTCGCCGCTCTGGAAGTGTAAAATCTTTCTCACTTAAATCTTAAGTTTCTTTCACCAGAGGCGAGATTTCCTTCCTGATCAGCTGCACCGCCGAGGTGGGGACTCGCTGTTGCTATTTTTCTGCTTGCTGTATTTAGCCTCTCGGTTAAGATATCCTGCTTCCCTTCCAGTCAGCAAAATCCCCGCGTTGCCTTCTTGCTCGTGGCCTTGGGCTCGCCACCGCCCGCGTGAGCCCGAGCTGCTGCCAACACGGGCTCCTGGCAGGGGCTGACAGCGGGGCGGGAGGGTGCAGCTGGGGGAATTCATAACTTTAGTGCTTTAATATTCCCTTCCCCACATCTCTGTCCAGGCGCAGCACGACTTGCCCAGCCCCGCCGCCAACAGCCCAGCTGTAGCCCTGAGCTCCTCGCACCTCGGCCCTGGCCATGGGCTTTTCCCACCCGACCCGAACGTGCGGTTTGGGGCTGCCCTGGACCCACGTGGAGCTCTGCTCTCCACCTTGCCCCTCGCCAGGAGCCAGGGATATCGGCTGACACACACGCAATTAATTATTATAAAAGCGAGTAGCACGATTTTCCTTCTGCAAAAAGCGCCTCTTCCTCGAAGGGGTCGAGGTGAATCCTCAGTGCTCTCCTCACCCCCATCCCTGACAAATTCCCCAACTTTCCCCAGCCCAGGGCTGGGATGGGAGCGAGGAGGTGTAGCTGGGTGAACAGAAAGCGTGCGGTGCTGATGCCATCTAGTGCCTCTGAACGTGGGACTGGCCAAGGCGAGGGGAGCTGGCCCAGCTCTGCCCACCACCCCACGCCTGGGCCGGGCACCCGAGGAGCCCCGCTGGCCCTTTCCTGAGCCCAGCCAGAGTTGAGGGGATGATGAGACACAAACCGGTATTTTAAGACGTTTTGGAGTTGCCTCTTCTGGCACAGGCTTGTTCTCTGGGGATCCTAAAATGTAAAATTAATCAAAGCCACAAACTTGAACTTGCTGCCACGGGAGGTTTGCTGCCTGCTGGGCTCTCTGGGATGCTGGGGGGAGGCTGTGGCAGCTCGGTGCCGTTACCCCTCATCGCTCTCCCTGGCAGCCCGCGCCGCTCCCCTTCGGTGACCCCCAAACCCTGTCAGGCTGGGGCAGGAGGAGCAGATCTCATCCTCATTCGGGCTGGGAACAACTCACCAACCCATCAGCTGGAGCAGCTGGTATTTAGGAGCAGCCCTGATCTCTGATACTAATCAAGCTCTTGTGGACTTCAGAGAAATTAAACCGTAATTCCTCTTTGCTCTTGTGGTTTCCTGGAGCACGGGGTAATTGCTATTCCAAGTGCTGCCAAGGCTGCGGTCTCTGAGTAATTGGAGTGTGAGCGGATCTTGTTCCGATTAGGGCTTGGCTGGGGCTGGTGTGTGCTCGGGGCAGTGGGATGAGGAGCCTGTGCTGGGGCTTGTTGGGAAGGAGCAAACGGTTGTGCTGAAAAACCTGAGCCCGGGCCGTGGCGGGGCTCTGCCTGCCGGACCACACGTGGCCAGGGCAGGGCCATCACCCCACTCACCTGCCCGGGTGACTGTGGCCGGCACAGGCGGTTCTGTGCTTTGCTATCGCTTCACCCCGGGTAAGGCTGAGACCGTTGGAGGCCTCTGCTGCTGCCCAAGGTCAACCCCCGGCAGCAAAGACAAGGGACTCGCTAGCAGGAGCCCTGTGCGAGGCCTCGCTGCCCCTGGCAGGAGCCTGATGGCCGGTGGCGCAACGAGCCTGCGGGCTCTGCCCGTGAGTGCCAGGCGCCCGCCGCACACCCCGGGCGGTTTTTCTCTGAACGGAACAGGAAGCAGTTTGTGGCAGTTGCTGTCCTTGCAGCCATCGCTGGCTCAGTGGCTCTCCAGGCCCCTGCATCGGGCACTTCGGGGTGCAAACCCCCCCCACACCCCCCCTGGGTGATTCTGCTGGAGCATCCCAGAGCCCCAACCCCGCCCCGGGTGGGAACAAGCGTCGGGGCAGCCCCGGGGCCGCTGTCGAAGGACCTGCAGCATGGGAGAGGCAGGTTTGTTTGTGCCATCAGAAAGGGGAAGCGGTGAGATGGTTGAGCCAGAGGCCCCCGTGAGCAAATCAGCCGCACGGCTGCTGCTTCCCCGATGAGCCTCCGCTTCTCGCTTTGCTCCAGCAGCTGGAGGAGCAGCCGGGGCTGTCAGGTGCAAGCGTGCACGGGAAACCCGCCAGAGATGCCTCCAGCCCTCAGGGTAAGTCGCTCTCCACACAAGCTCCATCCCCTGACAACAGGTTTGTCGCTCATCTTCCTCAGGGCCTTGGGAGGAAGCAGCTTGAAGCCAAAAGTCCAAGGTACTGGGTTTTGTTCAGCCTCCCCCCTGCATGTGCTTGAAGGCAACACGTGGGCTGGGGACCCTCAGCCTACACGGAGCTTCGCTCTGCTGTGAGGGAAGAGGGGGAGACGAGGTCGGGGTTTAAGCCCCCGCGTGTCCCCGTGGATGGCTCCGGGGCAGTGCTGGGGTGCCTGAACACCCTCCGGGCGCTGCCTCTGGCTCCTGCTGCTGCTGTGCCACAGCTGAAGGTTTCCCAGGACACCTTAGCACTGCCCACAGCTGGCTTGTTCCCCCAGATCCCCCTACAAAGTGCCCACCCCAGGGCTGGGCACCCGTGTTGTCGGGGAGATCGCGGCAGAGGGGATGTGGGCAGGGTTGTGTTGGGCCAGATGATGTTTTGGGGTTTGTGGCCAGGCGAGGGAAATGTCCTTTGCCATCTGCTGTTGCGTAACAGCAGCCCAGTGTGGGCTCCACGTCGTGGAGGTGCCTGTGGCCGTGCCCAAACTGCCTGGGCTCCGCTCGGCGAGGCCACAAGCGTGAGCTGGACAGCGGGGACAAGGTTCAGCCTAGCTCAGGAGTCCAGCAGCTGCACAGGCGTAAAACTCAGCTTCATGAGCCTAATCGAGGGGTTGGGAGCAAAGTGTGGAGCCAGCCTGGGCTGCGGGGCTGGTGCCAGTCGGGAGCAGCGGGCTTGGAGACCTCAGGGTGGGGTTTTGGTCTCCTGGGGCAGGTTGGAGACAGCTGAGACAGCTCCCACCTGCCTCCCTGCCTGGGAGCGCTGCGAGGGGCTTGGGGCAAGAGCCGTGCTGGGGGATGGGACCTGCTGCGAGCTGCACGGTGATGCTGGTGTTGCAGAGAGGGTGTCCTGCCTTCCCTCGCGGAGGCTCTGCCACGGCACTTGAAAACGGTGCCAAAGGTGCAAATATCAAGCCTGTGGTCTTAACTCTTCCCCTGCGCCCGCGGTGAAGGTGACCCTTACCCAGGTGAAGGTTCTGCCCCTGCAGAACTGCCTTGAAGGTGGCGGTTGTCAGGCTGACAGCTGATAGTCACGAATGGAGCAGGGAGGGGAAGGGGGTTATGATGTGTTGCTTTCTGTTTCTATCTGCAAGCCTCCAGCAGCCTTCAGGGGCTTGTGTGTGCTGCGGGGCCACTAATCCCTGGGCCCTGCTGTAGGAAGTCACTGACCCGTCACACAGGTGGGAACGCCAGAGACCAGGAATTTCTCTCTGGCTACAACTTCCATCAGCTGATACTTCTGACAAAACACTTGGCTTCTCCACTCCCCCCTTGGCAGCCCCTGGGCTGCAGCCTGCAGTGCTGCCTTAGAGCGCGCCGAGCTCTGCCGTGCTCCGGGCTGTCGTCTCCTGCTCGGGGTTGTACCTCGCACGGGGCTCGCAGAGCTCCCCAATGTCAGACTCGCTGCTCAACCACTCCTGGCCATCGTTTTCCAAGCGCTGGAAGAAGAGATGGTCCTTTAAGCGAGGTAACAAACAGCCTTGTGTGCGGGGGGAGCGGCCGGAGCCGTGTGTGGGGAGCTGGGCTGCTGCGGGAGAGGTTGGGGTCCCCGGGCAGAGCTTGGTGTTGGGTGCACCCCGCTCCTCTCTGCAGGGAACACTGCCTAAGCGTTGGTTAACGCTTTTCCTTCCGTTTCGTCTTCTTTTCGAGGCACATAAATGCTTTTCAGAGCTGGGTAATGGGTTAAATCTCAGCCTTCTGGTTTTGTAATAAATGTGTTTCGTTGCTGGCGGTGAGCTGGAGGTCCCGGTGTTTGCAGACAGCTGTCTCTGCACTCCTGCCCGGCGAGGGCTGAGCCTTGTGTCGAGAGTTTGGTGTTTGAGCAGATGCTGGGGAAAAGACTCCTCCAGTCTCTCAGAGAGGGCTGACGAGCAGAGCCCCCGTGCTCAGGGCACAGTCGGAGCCGTGGCGGTTTGTGTGGCACCGTCTGGGCTTCACGGTGTCCGGCGGCAGGGACAGAAAAGGCCAGCAGTTGTGTGAACTGGCCTCATTCCTGCAGGCGGTGCTGTGACTTGGAAGGAGGGAAGGGAGAGCCCTGGGAAGCAGGACATTTGCTGGGCACTGCTGCCCTTGCCTGCAAACACTGTCTTCAGGCTGATGCTTTTGGGTACCTTTATCTGTGGCATTAGAGCTCTTGATACTTTTTCTCCCTCATTAATCCCTCACCCACCCAGTTCTCTTCCGATGTGGATGTGCAGGAGACCAAGATCCCAACTGAACGGCCAAAGGAAGGTTAATTCAGAGCAGGAGGCAGGGTCACACAGGCTCGGATCTGTGGTGAGCCCCAAGCAGCTTCCCCGAGCCCCAGCCAGGACACCCCGCTCCAGCCTCCCCAGTGCCGTGCCTGCCGGGGCGGTTATGGGCTCCCTGGGAAGGCTCAGGTGGGCTCATTTCTCCAATAAATCCCGCAGCCTCACAGCGCTCACAAGCACCGACTGCCTTGGAGAGTCTCGGGTGGAGCCCTCTGCCCCCAGCACGTGCTTGCGGAGCAGTTTGTCCCTCTGGGGCTTGTGCTGTGGGCACAAAACATTCGGGTCTCACTCAGCTCCTCTCCTGGCACCGGCTGCCTGCGCCGTGGCACTCGCTGGCCCACGTGGGACCTTCCCTTGGCGCCCGGCAGCCGCTGCGGGAAGCTGCTCAGTGACTCCTTCTTGCGACTGGGAGAGGATCAGAGGGTTGCAAACACCTCTTTGCCCCACCGAGACCCCTCAGCTGCGGGGTGTGCTGGTTCCCCGCTCCTCCAGCTCTTCATGCCCAAAACCCAGGCCCCAAACGCAGCGATAAGGCAGCAGCTCGCTGTACAGTGCGTTAGTGTTGGACGGCTTATCTTCTCCCCTCCTCCAGCCTGAGCCAATCCCCACCGCTGCCAGCGGCCGACGATGTGGGGCCCAGACCAGGCGAAGGACTGCGCTTCATCCCATTTTGGCACAGCGAGTTCAGCACTTGCTTTACAGAGGTTTTACCCTATAGCTCCGGCCGTCCCACCTGGCTGTACGCGAAGGGCAGCTGGTGCAGAGCCAGGAGGAGATAGAATAATTTTAGTTTCTTGTCCGTGCTGCTCTCTGTGGTTTCCCAACAGTCTCTGCCCGTGATTGCTGGGAAATGCCCAGGCACTCTGGTCTTTCCTTCCTCCTGGGATTGTTTCACTTCGCAGAACCGCCCAGTGCCTTTCCCCGGTGGAAATGCGGAGAGTGTTTCGATGCTTGGAGGATGTGATCCGCATGGCGAGAGCTCGCAGCTCGCTGAGGTTTCCCCCCGCCAGCGCCAGCCCGGCTCCGGGGTCACTCGGGGACCTGCACGTCCTGCGCCGAGCACCGGGGCGGGCTGGCAGAGGCTTCTCTCCCGCTCTGACACTTGTGGGTGCGTCTCCAGTGACCAGCCCGCCCGAGGGGACTCAGCAGAGGCCGTTTCAGGAAGGAAATTTTGACCGTAGGCCTGAATTGGAAGCATTAAAACCTTTGTTGGGCTCCCCGCAGCCTTGCCCGCAGTTGCAGCAGCACGGAGTTTTCTTTCTTGAGACAAACCGGCTCCGCTGGCTGATCCCACTGTCCCCATGGCATCAAAACCCCCGAGACTGTCCCAGACTGTCACGTGCAGTGGGCGCCTGTCCCTCCTTCCGTCCTCCCCGCACAGAAGCCTGGAGTGGCCACGTTTTGCCTGCCAGGCAGCTCTGGCAAAGCGCAGCAGAGCCCCACTGGTGTGCAGGGCCCTGCCCAGCCCGGCGAGGCTTCCTCCCCAGCTCTGCCCTGGGAATTCCTCTGGTGGGGCTGCTCCCCGCAGCAATAACCTTTTATGGTTCCTGGCCAGAGGCAAATTAAGCAACTGCACTACCTAATCTGCTGAACGTTCTCCTAAAGCAAACAGCCTATGTTCTTGAAAGTGTCATTTTGTCATCCCACTTCCAGCTCCAGTCGAGTAAAGGTGAACGCTGCTGTCTGCCGGCGCCCGGGGAGCCAAGGTGCCCCGTCCCCCTACACCGCGCCGCAGCCAGACGGAGCACGGCTCCTTCCAAACAGGCTCCAGCCCCGAGCCCAGGAGCCTCGAGGGGCTCCAGAGCCGCCCGTGCTTGCTGATACCTGAGTGACTACCTCAATCGTGGGGATAGGGACGTTCACAGCCCCCCGGAACAGTCTCCCTCCTGTGCATGCTCCCCGCTGGCCCTTCCTTGCTCACCACACCAGACCGTGGTGCCCGAAAGTGGGTTTTTCCCCCCGTAACCCCCTCCAGCAGCCCCCCTTGCCCAAGTTATCCCCACAGCTCTGCTCTGTACGGGGTGCCAGGCCACATCCAGCGCCGGAGGCGTTCGATGCGGGGAGCCCTGTGTCGTGCCCCGCGCTCACACGTTCCCTGTGACGGGCTCCCCACGGCCGCAGCCCCACACACCATGTGCTGCTGCCCCGCACCAGAGGTTCACTGCCACCCTGACTTATCACCTGCTCATCTGAACTCCCCGAGGAGGATAGAAGTCGTTCGGGCGGGCCTGGAGAGGGTCTGTTGACCGCAGCCCATGTCTTGGCCAAATCCTGAGCCCTGCGGGGCACAGGCAGAGCACAGGGAATATTTTCCAGGCCTCCGAGGAGCTGACTCTGTGCCAGGGATCCACTTCAGAGCTGCAGCCTGGAGCCTGGTGCAGGCCCAGAGTAGCTTTGGCAGGACAGCCGGACCCTGCTTGGGAGGAAAAAAACCTCTTTGTTTTAACTAAACCTGCGGGCCAGGGTTCAACCTCCATCAGGCCACAGCACCCATCAGCTCCTGCGGCGACATCCCTGCTGCCTCTCGGAGCTCTGCTGCTTTCCCTGCGGGCAGTTCGCTGCTGCAAGAGATGGCAAAAGCAGGGAATCTCCTTTTTTCTTCCTTCTTTGGACTTGTATGAGGGGAAAAAACATTTGTCCTGGTCCCCCATGGCCCTTCCCCACTACCTGATTGCTCCCCTTAGGTCTGTTCTACCTTAACCTTCATCCCAACCTGTTTTGAGGGTTCAGTGGCTTTTACTGCCCACTGACACCTTTGGTTGCTGTTTCCTACAAACTCGCACCAAAACCTGCACTGCTTCAAATGTGTTTTCACTCCAAAACGTTGATTTTGGCTTACAAGCTGAATAGAGGCAACCCAGGTGCACCTGAGGAAAGCAAAAGGTTATGTTCAAGAGCTCACTAAACTCTGCCAGTTTTACAGATAGAGCATTATAGATGTGGCTCAAGGACATCCTGAGTAGGAATTCGTCTATCAATTAAAAATGTCTTGTGAAGTAAATCCTACAACTTTGCTAGAAAGTCTGTTTCAAATTTTCCCTGCTCTTACAGTTCGAAAACCCTTAATTAAACTGGTGTCTTCACAGAATGCCGTCTTTCTATATTATTTGTAGACCTTCATTTCAATTTACCACACACATTTAAACACACCAAACACTCCTTAAAACAGAAAATCTGGTATCTGCAGTGTGCAGCGGGATCCAAGGAACAAACCCCCAGACTCTCCCTCCCATTCGCTGCCTTTCTCTAGTCGGCGTCCCGCAATTCCTGGCTGCATCACGTAGCATTAAAACTCACAGCAGGATGCGAGGTCTCCAAGAGTGTGTTTTTTAACAATATCTTCCTCATCTGAATGTTTTTATACTTGGCTCTCCTGGAGTACGATGGGTTTCGAGCAGTTTCTTGCCATTTTTTCCCATTGGATCGTTACGGCCGCTTACGGTCTCTTGCTATTGTTCCCTTCAGAGATCTTCAGAGATCCACCACGGTGTTTCGGCCAACAGCCTGGCTTTTTTCCATTCCCCTCAGCTGTATGTATCTCAAAGGAATAAAAGACCTCCATGAGTCACGCGATGGTTTACAGGGCATGGCTAAGGTTTACAGTGTGTCTCGTTGCATAGGAATGTGCTTCAGTCAGCTGGACGATCGGTTGTACCACGAAGCTCGTCCAGACCTTGTTTTTTGTTTCTCAATGAGTTATCGGGTGGTGTACACACACTTAGGTTCACACTCACTTAGCGCTTCTGCGTGGGGAAAATCCACACGAGACACCCAGCACGGGGAGAATTACATGCTCCTGCTATCGCTCTGCATATTCAGTGCTGTCTGGAGTCACCAACGTGCCTCCAACTTGGCCTCCCAGTGGCATCCTTTATTCCTTACGGATGAAAATAAAATCACTGTCAGTATTTTTACTGACAGATTTTTGCTCTAAAGGTCCACAATGTCAATAACAGCCATCAAAATGTGTTTAACTCTTCTGTTTTACCATGGAAACAGCCTCTGCTGCACAGGGCATCCTACGAGGGTCTGGCTGGGACGGGGCAAGCCTGGTCTCTGCCCTTGCACATGCTGTGGCTCAAGCAAGGGATGGGGTTTCTGCTGTTAGGGAATCCCTGCAGCAGGTTCCCACAGGATCAGGGCTGCCGAGGTCCCGAGACTGCCTGGCGGTGCTTGTCTGCAAGGGGTGAGGGAGCAGAGGGCCCCGTGGAGCATTTTGGTGCTGCCTGATGTCACCTGTCTGTGTGTGACGGATTCTCCATCCATCCTGGCCATCTGCTTACCTGCTGTGACCTTCTCTGTCTCGCAGGCTCCGACTGCAAGCCCTGCTTACGGGAATTCCCTGACCACAGCACCCCTGCTTTGGAGTACCCCGACCCCAAAACCTTCCTCCCATCCCTGATCGCTGAGGATGACACCTTCTGCACCAGCATGGCTGAAGAAAAGGCAAGTGTCCTCTTTCCTTCTGCTACCACCGTGCGAGGCAGCAGCCAGCCTCAGCAAACCGGGTGGTCAGCACCGTGTCCAGAGGGTTCCGTGGTGGAGTAAGAACGGGGAAAGGGGTACTGACCCAGATTATCAAGGAATACAAGGTTATATTGCTTCTGCTGCTGGGAAAAATCATACCTATGTGTTTGCATTGCTGTTAGGGGGAATAAGGCACGGGGAGACCTCAGAGACTAGAGACAATCTCCATGGACACCTTAGCAGGCCGAGCTTTGGGGCTGGGGCTGGTCTGGCACCTTAGCAAGACGAGCTTTGGGGCTGGGGCTGGTCTGGCACTTTAACAAGCCATGGGGCTGGGGCTGGTCTGGCACTTTAACAAGCCAAGCTTTGGGGCTGGGGCTGGTCTGGCACTTTAACAAGCCAAGCTTTGGGGCTGGGGCTTGTCTGGCACTTTAACAAGCCGAGCTTTGGGGCTGGGGCTGGTCTGGCCCCTTAGCAAGCCGAGCTTTGGGGCTGGGGCTGGTCTGGCTGCAAGGTGCAGTAAGAGAGCACGACTATTAGAAAGTCTGGCTTGAGAAACCCAGCTGCAGGCCTGGTCCTGGTGGCTGCAGGTGGGCTGTTTGCCGTGAGAAGGGACAGAACAGCAGCTCCGGCTCTGCGCGGGAGGTGTCCCCTTCGCAGGACGGGTGCAGAGCCCTCGGACAGGGTTTGTGCGCTCAGGCTGAGCTGTCGCTGCTGTTGCAGGAGGACTCGTCTTCCACAGAGCTGGATGTCCCCGCGGCGGACTCGCACAGCAGCACGGAGGATCTCCTCTCAGACTCTGCTCTCCACGGCACGGAGTATTACAGGGATCTGGGACTCCTGAGCCCACCAATTGCCAAAGCAGCGCCAGAGCCGGCAGCGCAGCCAGAACAAGCAACCCAGGCTGTGTCTGCCATTCGCTTATTGGAAGAGAGACCGGGGGCTCTGAGCAAAATGTCTGTGGATGTTGCTTTTTCCAATCCTGTTTCCTGCTCCATACGTTACGGCGAGGCCGACTGCCGTTTTCTGAACAAAGGCCCCGTTTGCTCCTGTGCAGCGGTGCCAGAAGATGGTACCAGCACTTCTGAGTGTCCTGCAGAGGCAGACAAAGAGCTGGACCTGCAGGAAGCCAAGGAGTCCTTCCCCACGCTGGTGAGATCTATGTCCACCTCTCGGAGGCACAGCTGGGAGAGCCCCTTATCACCCGTGGACTGCAAGCGCAGGTACAGCAGGGCTGTGAGCAATGTCTGATGTATCTGGTGCAGTGATGGTGAGTGAGGCCGGAGCGATCGCGCTGCCCTGAGCTGCCGGGTGGTCTCCCCTCCCGCATCAGCATCTGCCAAAGCAGCTGGACGCCCGCTGCTCATGTTGGGTGGGGTGTGGAGGAACAGATGCTAGGACAGCAAGGGGCTTTAATGTCTCCTTGGCGGTAGGAAGACCCTCTTCTCCCAGTCTTGGAGCCAGGAGTTCTCATCCAGGGAGAGCTCGTTTCTGTCTAGAGGAAACTTGGAAACGTATCAGCTGCCCTAATGGCCTCCACGCTCTGGCTCAAAGGCAGCTTTGCCCACCCCAGAGGGATTGAGAGAGCTCTGTCAAATCCTTTTTCTTCTTGCCTGAGTGTCGGTTTGGTGAGGCCTGTGTCCTCCAGCCCTCTGTCCTCCCCACGGCTGCAGAGAGTGTATTTTCTAGCACGATGCTGAGCTCTGGCTGGGAGGGGTTTCCAGGCCTGGAATTCCTGTCCTGTGCTCCCGCCACATGGACGCCTTGGGCTCCAGGTTCCTACAGGCATGCTTTCCCTGCTGACAAATGTATTGATCTCCTGGATGACGGGGAGGGAGATGCAAGCCAGCAAGAACTATTTTTATCTCTCCTCCTTATAAGGTACCCTAAAATTATCTCAGCCTGAAATCTTGGCAGTTCTTTATCAAGCCCAGACTTTGGTTCTCAGACCTATTGTTGTTCCACGGGCCGGGGATCATTCACAGTTTATTCTGTGTAACAGGCACACGAGCGCAGAGCGGCTGGCGGTGGCAGGGGCTCGTTCAGTCCCTCGCTGGGTGATTAAGCATGTGCGAGCACATGGCCAGGGAAGGGGAATACACCCCGCTGTCCCCTAAGCAAAAATTTCCTGAAGCCTGTCTCTGGCAGCAGGAATGAAGTGACAGTGATCTGCATACAGAACCCATGCAGAGACTAAGATTTTCCACTGAGTCCTATCCATCATTTTGCTCCTCTGTTGTTGGCACTGCAAACAGTACTTGGTGTTCAGGAAACTGTGGGGCACTGGGGGAGCTGGTCAGCACTGGGAGAGCTGGTCCATCCCTCAGTTCCCAGAAGAGGATTTCTTTTTTCTTCCTCGAAGCTGGGTCCCAGCAGGAGCAGGATTTATGACATGATGCCACAGTGATGATTCGATAAATGACAACATCTGCCATTTCTAAATGCCCAGAGGGACCTTCCTGGCACTGCGGCTAACAGGGCAGCAGCTCTCACGCCGGCGAGGCAGGCTGCTGTCTGGGTGGCTGCTCAGTCTCAGGGGTTGCTAAAAGATCAGTGAGAGCCATCTGGCACTAAACACCCCGGGTGACCAAGGAGCTCGCGAACTCGCTGATGGCAGCCAGAGAAACTGTTTTTAACAAGCTCAGGACTTGGTGTCCAGGCTGACGTTTCCTGGCATTTCCTTTTCCATGTGCCTGCTGTGGTCACCCTCCTTGTCCCAGTTGCACGAGCTCTTTAGGACTGGCCGCCCAAGGCCAGGACGTTGCAGGGGCTGTGCCGTGCCTGGCACAATGGGACGGGTCTGCTAAACCAAACCAGCTTGTTCCTCTTCCTTGAATTAGGTTCAGCCTGGACGCCACAGAGATGGGCAGTGACCCAGAGCAGGAGGATGTGGAGAAGGGGAGCCAGGCCTGCCCGCAGCCTCGCGTGGCCCTTCAGCTGCCCAAAGGGGAACTGGAAACCTGGAGCGGTGGAGGGGGTGGCATGGTGATCAAAGTGGAGATAGAGCCGTTGTGCCCGAGCCTCACGCTCAGCCCTGGCTTGGAGGAGGCGGTGAGTGTGCAAGGGCTGGGTGCACAGGGGCAGCAGGGCAAGCCGGGGAGTGGGAGGCAGCACACGTGGGGTCAGCTGCAGGCTGGGCTTCTTCCAGGCCACCGCTGAACCAGTGACATGTCCCAGTTTCTTGGGACGATGACTCAGATTCACCGATTCCCGGGTCAGGGTTAAGGTGAAACAACACCAAGGATTCTCCAATTAGCACAACTCAATTTCTATTTGCTCACAACAGATAATTGGCGTGAAACTTTGTCAATAATCTTTGCATCTTCCGCAACAGGCATTAAATTTACACTGACTAATGGCAGATCTTGTAACATACCCCAACAAGCCTTAAACGTACCCACACAACCTTAAACATACCCAAACAGGCCTTGCCTTATATGCGGGCATGCTGAATAAGAAGGGAAGAGAGGACAAGAGAGAAAGACAGACAAAAAGGAAGATTTCACCAGTCCTGGTTCCATCGTTGGTCCAGCCAGCCCAGGGGTCCAGTTCTGCAGAGGCGCAGCCACCCCAGGCTTTGACTTGTGTCCTTTTTTAATTCCTTACCCCGCCTCCAGGTGGACATCTGGACTCATTAGGCTAATTGGGCATCACATACAGTTTATGTTTCTAGAATTCTCCTTGCTTTTGGTACATGCGCAGTTTGTACCTTCAGATTTCCTTCTGGAAAATGAGTCGGTGGGCGCAGGGGTCGGTGGGGATTTCCTCCCTCCCTCCCTGCAGGTGTGACCATTGTTTGACTTTTTATGAAAACACCTTCTCTATTGGCTCTTCACAGAGTCACTCAAGATAGGGCAGTTCAGCCTCCAAAAAGTGTGATCCCACCTCCGCAGGACCCCCTCCTCTTGCCCCACCTCCCTGCCATTACCTGCACAGCCCTGGTGTCCCCATAAAAACCATTTCCTTTGCCAAAGTTCTTTACCAGATGGTTGAGACATTAACTGTGGTTTCATCAGATCGTCACAACCAGGTACACCGGGAGATCTGCAGGGATCTCAGCAAGGATGGGCTTTTTCTGCTCCAGGACATGCAGGATAAAGGCCCTGGGAGCTGGCTCATGCCCAGCTCTCTTTTCCCATATATCTAGCTGGAATTTTCCTTGCTGCAATGTGGGCCTGTTGCCTCTTGTCACTGTGCACCTCTAAGAAGAGTCTGGCTCCATCTTCTCTCTACTCCTCTGTCAGGTGGTTGACACCATCATCATCCCCCCCTTTCACACTGCTTTCCTCTGGGGAATATCTTTGGATTCAATTAATATTAAAAGAACAATTCCATCACGGTGCTACGCGTCCTATAAAAGTGAGAAGTGCCTAAGAAGGTTTCAGCCAAGTGTCATTTGCTCCAGGCTCCCTGGAGCCTACACCTGGAGCCAACAAACAGCTGGGCCTTGACAAAACAAGAGAGGGAAAGGGTGAGGAGTCAGCCTGTTCCCGGTGATATCTTGGGTCTTGATGTAATCCTGTGTTTTGACATACCACAGGTATCAACCCTGGGGCTCCCGGGGTGGGCACGCAGGGTAGGTGGCTGCACAAGGCAGGGGTGATCACTGGCACTAAAATGGAAATTCCCTGCCTCACCCCTTGCCAGCCATGCTGTGCCCCGACAGAGACTCCCCTCGGGCACAAAAGACCAAAGATGTGCACGACTTTTTACTTCTCCAGGAATGTGGCAGCAGCGGGAAGAGAGTGAGGTCAAAGTCTGTCCCATCAGCCTGTGAGACGGTTGCCTCCCCTCAGATCCCTTTCAGCTTCGACACTTCTCTGCCAGCCATGGAAGGTTGGTATAGACTATATGTGGCACTAAGCAAGTTCAAGGTCTTTGTCATTAAGAAGATAAAAAGCTGAAGATGTAGCCTCAGCAAGTCTAGACATCCTCTGCCCTTCCCTTCTACATGGTCCCAGGAGATTCTAAAATTAAGTCAAGCTGACTTTGATCCTGGCTAACAGTGTAGTCTAAGCATGGGCCCATCCCCAGTGACACACTGCCATAGAACCTCTCTGTGACTGGTGCACTGGTCAGTCCCTACTCACAAAAAACAAAGGTGGTTTCACAGGAACAAAGGGCACTGCTTCATCTGCCTGGGCAAAAATGCACCCCTTCTCCTGCACCCCAAAGAATGGGGCAAATATGTGCCTGCGGGCAGGGCCAGGCCCCTCCTGACAGCAACGCCCGTAATAAACCCACCGTGCGTACCGGTAAGAGAGCAGGCTCCAGGACAAGGCTATCAGGTTCTGGTTTCTGCACTGAAAGATGAAAAACCTTAGAAAAACAGAGGCACCCGGGCTCCTGTCAACTTAATTTTGGCCTTCTCTGTGCTGCTGGGATCCATTAACCTCTCCCACTTGTGAGGACTGCCCCAGAGCAAACTGTAGAGACTTGTTAAGAGCACAGCCTAAAAAATGGAGAGGAAGCTGGCTGTCATGGGAAGGGTCTCTGGGCTGGTATCAGCTCCTACCCTCTAGCTGCAAGCAGGATCTTCAGAAGCTCATGTAATGCAGGCTGGGGAAGGGAGGGGTAACACAGAAAAGCGATGGAGCCTCCGCCTCCCTCACAGAAATGCAATGCAGCCTTTCCCTCCCTAACTGCTCCCAGCACTTCTCCCTCCCCACCAAAGGCAGAGTGGGAGCCCAGCAAGATTAATGGGGTCCAGTTGTGTAGTTTGTAAATGGTGCTCTGCAAAGGCAAACCAGGATCCCTGCTGAGAGCGTCTTGTGTTGCAGATGTTGAACCCCCTGCTCTGGAGATGCTGGAGAAGGACCACGTGTCCCCAGACCACGTGTAAGTATTGTCAGTCCCGGCCGGTTTGAGGTGCTGGAGATTCTTAAGTATATCTGAGCTACTAGAGATGCAATAGGAAAGGAGAGCCCACTCCGTGTTGGGGCACACCTGAGCAGTTGGTTGTAAACCAGCGCCAGATGCTTTGTGGGGTGCAGAATGTCTTTGCAAGGACATTTTCTAATCTCTCGCTTTTCTTTTGCCCCATCCCTGGCAGGTTAATTGTCCAGCAGGTACTTCACGAGCTGAAACACTATCATGGGTAAGTGTGTCTGGGAGAGGGATGTGGGTGGGGAGGTCATGGCTCTGCCATTGACCCACCTGGCAAATGACACTCGGTCCCTGAGGGGCAAAGCCCCAGGGTACCAGAACCACTCTATTCTTCCAGTGAAACTCAGGTAGAATTGCAAGAAGGAGCATTTCACGTGCCTCTTCTGTAACCCTAAACCTGTTCCTGCCCCAAAGATGAGCCTTTCTGCTGGCCTAAAAGTTCTGCTCCTGTGTGTCTGATGTCTTCTCCCTGCACAGGGCAAAGCAGAGAGCGTGTGTGCAAGAAGGCGGCGATTCCTCCCAGCAAAACCTCACCTGGTTTGAGTTCCTGTCTAACACGTAAGTGAGACAGACAGTAACCCACACGCTTTGTGTTCCCAGAGCAGACTGATTTCAAGCCCCACTTCATCTAAGCTCTACTGCCCTGCTAACACTGTGTGCAGGACACTGGTATCTGCAGGGGTTCAGCTGGGATCGGGGCCTCATTGTTCATGGAACTGAAAAAAACAAGAGACAGTCAGAACTCACACAAATAACTTGAAAGTTCAGCTCCTTATTTTGCAAGTGCCCCATTAATAAATTACATGATTGATGCTGAGCCAAATCCTTCAGGAGATTGAAAGCTCAGAGATGAGGTTGTCAAGAGCTTCAGAGGAACGTCTTCAGTGATCTCCCTGAACTGTGTTTGGCCCGTTAACTTCCCCTTAGTTAAGATGGTTTTGCTCTTGTTTCAGAAATGAGGACAGTGGAAAAAGCGATAAAGCAGAGAAAGGCACAAAGGTGATGCGACGTCTGAGTTCCCTGCGGAGCCGCGTCACCGGCTCCTGGCAGAAGGATAAGGTGAGGGAGAGATGCTGGATTTGTGGAAGGAATTGTTGAATTCTTCAAGAAGAAAAGGGGATCTGACCCCAGTTAGTCGGATTGCTTTTGGGTGGCTGGGGCCTCTATATCGATCAGCAGAGGCACTGTGACCTCTAACAGAATTGCACCGGGCAGTGACCCCAAGTTTCAGCCCACCTTCAGAATCCCAGAATCATCTGGGTTGGAAAAGCCCTTGGAGATCCTCCAGCCCAACCATGACCCTCACCCTGACCCTTCCCAACTCCCCCAGATCCCTCAGCGCTGGCTCAGCCCGACTCTTCAACACCTCCAGAGATCCCGGGGACTCCCCCCCTGCCCTGGGCAGCCCATCCCAACGCCCAACAGCCCCTTCTGCACAGAAATCCTTCCTCAGAGCCAGCCTGACCCTGCCCTGGGCAGCTTGAGGCCATTCCCTCGGGGCCTGGCGCTGGGGCCTTGGCTCCAGAGACTCATCCCCCCTCTCTGCCCCCTCCTGGCAGGGAGTTGCAGAGGGCCAGGAGGTCTCCCCTCAGCCTCCTCTTCTCCAGACTGAACCCCCCCAGTTCCCCCAGCCGCTCCCCAGCAGACCTGTGCTCCAGACCCTGCCCCAGCTCCGTTGCCCTTCTCTGGCCACGCTCGAGTCATTCAGTGGCCTTTCTGGGGTGAGGGGCCCAAAACTGAACCCAGGAATCAAGGTGCAGCCTCACCAGTGCCAAGCACAGGGCTCAGATCCCTTCCCTGTCCCTGCTGGCCACGTTATTGCCGAGCCTCGCTCCAGGGCACGTTCTGGCTGCTCTCTTGCTCTCTTGACACGAGTTGTGCATGCCCTGAGAGAAGCGCTTCACCTGGGTGACTGCCTGGATGACCCACGGTGGCACGGAGAGCCAGCAGAGGCACAGACACGTGCTGCAGTGCAGTGTCCTGCCCTTCATCACACACAGACCTAGCCCTGAGGGACTGGGCCAAGCCTTAGGAAGGTGTTTGGGAAAATCCCTACCACCCTAAAGGTTTGGGCACAAAGGTGCCTGCTGGACTTACTGCTCAGCAGCTTTCCACATGCTCGTTTTTGCCAGCGGGGAAATAAAATGTGTGGGCAGTGTGAGGCCTGTAATAGAGCTGTGTTTTTCTCTCCTTCCAGGGTAAGAACAAAGAGCAGCCAAAAGAGAAAGAAAAGGAGAAAGAGACCAAGGAGCCAAAAGAGAGGTGGAAAGAGATCAATGGGCACCAGCTTGTGCCAGGGGCTTTCTCCAGTTGCACCAGCTGCTCACTGTGTGCCAAGCCTCTTGGAAATAAAAGTGGTCTGCAGTGCCTGAGTGAGTATGGCTGTCGCTGCCTGGCCCTGACCCAGCCTGGCTGCAACCCGCTCCCCAGCCTCCTCCCCGGCCCCAGCGGCCGTTCCCCTGCTTAAACCACCCTCATGGATTGCTTCACTTCTCTGCCTGGCTTGACTGCACCCCATCACCCTGCTTGGCCTGGCTTGGCTGTTTCTCCAGATAGTCTAAATGATCCCTAAATCCTGCCTGGCAATAGTTCATCCTCATTTTCTTTGGCCACTTGGCCATTTCCTGCCCCTTTCCCCCAAGGAGGGTTCTAGGTCAACTCTTCTTTTAATATTTTTTTTTTCTTCACCAAGTTCTGCTTTGCCCAAGCAAATATCCCTGCTGCCTGAGTAAAGCTGGATCTTTTAGGCTGTTTTTCACAGCTGCAGTGATGTGTCAGCCCAGAATCTGCCCTATGCCTGGGCAGAGGGATTTCTAGAGCATTCAAAACTTTATTAAATTGTCTCCCAGGACCTGCATGGGTGAAATTGTTGCTTTTCAGATATAAGTAGTGCGCAGGAATGGCAAACAGCGTGCATGGGACTCTGTCCTCCTACTGCATTCACTGTGGCATTGCTGCATGGCTTTGGCTGATGGACAAACCCTGTCCCTCCTCTTTGGGGCAGGTACTCAGGGCACTGAAGAACATTTTAATTCCCAAGGGATTGTCTGTGGGCAGAGAAAAATCTTCTGGAAATGAGAGAATTGCTCTCTTTCTCTACCCTGTATCCGCAGGCAATGCTCGCTCTCCAGTAAGGGTCTCTCAGAGGCTCTTAAGGTCAGTAAAACCTTCCTGGGGCATAAACAAACTGGCTGCCCTCAGATATGTGCTGTGAGAAGCGTATTTTCCCTTCAGGGCAGCTGAAGGGAAATTGAAAAGGACCACAGGCCTGGCTATTAGTGAATATATTTCAGGTGTCACAGAAAAAAAAAAATAGGAAGCAGGGACCTGAATACGAGTAAGTGCTCTGTGGGTATTTAGAGAGAACCCAAGTATTACGGGAGGAGGCAGAGTTATGCCTCGTCATTCCTGTCTGAGGCTCTGTGTGCAGTCCTGCCGCTGCTTTAGAAAAATATCTGAACCTGAGAGGATACAAACAGTCCTTGATCCCCAGTGCACCAAGAGCTTGGAGTCATGCTCTGTAGGGTCTTTGGTGGTGTGAGTGATTCTCCTCCAGACAACCACTATGGAGATGTGTGATCTGGAGTGCAAGGAGTTGGAGCTAGCTGTCGAAATGGGAGAATGTATCGGCCATCATAAACGTGCAGGGATTGGACATGAGTTATAGTGACTTTTACCTTGTTTCTCAGCCCTTTGGTGAGGAATCTGTGTTCTTGAGTCTTGCTAACATTCAAGAGAAAAACTCTGAGGTGGCTGAGGAGCTGGTTTGTGTTTGGGGCTCTGTGGTTTTCTGGCTTTCTCAGGGATACACTGCCCAGGCTAACGTGCTCATTTTTGCGTGTTCCCCTTGCGGTGGCTTGAACTGAGGCTGAACAATCCGGCAGGGTTCTGAGATGTTCACTAAAATTAATGGCCTGTCTGTTGTCAGATCTGGATTGGGACTTGTTTTGTGACAGCTGTTAGTCTGAGAGTGCCTATATTTGGATTATGCTGGGCTGAAACCTTTGTGAGCTGCTTCTGGGCGGCAGAGTTGATAGTTGATATCACTAATTCCCGTTATTGCAGCTCGGAGCACTGTGTGGTCTCCTGACAAGTCACTGATAGGGCTCTTGAAAAGCAAGCTTCAGGCCACGGTGTAGACAGAGCGGCAAGCCTGCTTTTCAGAAGCACGAACTGCTCTGTCAGGGCTCAGGCTGAGCTGTAGCTGCTGCCAGGATCTGAGGATATTTGGCTGCTCCTCTTGTTTTCTCATCATGAACTCACACTTCACCATCTATACGCTTTGGCCCCCGGCCAGCTCTCGGTCCATCTCATGGTCAGGTGCTGCTGTTTGTGTGCTCGCCGTGGTATTTTTAACGGCAGCACCACCACGTGGTAGGAGACAAAACAGGCTCAGAGAAAGAAAAGAAAAGATGGTTAAAGGGGTGAGCTGAAGACAGGGGAAGGAAGGATGGAGAAACGATTAGGCAGCCTGATGTCTTTTCACTGTCCAGTAGACACGAAAAGTCTGGTGGCTTCCATGGCTGTGATGAAATAGAGAAGCGAGAGCTCTTCTTATTAGAAAAAGTTACAGCAGGAAGAATTCTGCTTTTAATTCAGAACAAGGAACCATCATTCTGTTAGAAACATGCACATGAAGAGCGTAGGCAGCCCGGGTGGCCCGGCAGATGGTCACTTGTTTCCCTCTCCTGCCTGGTTCCTCCCATCTATCCTGGCACTGCGCAGCACAGCGTCTCCCAGGGAAGGAGGCTGTGGTGTGTGTCAGGAGTTACAGATGCAGGAGAGCTGCTGCAGCTCCAGTTTCAGAGTCCCACAGATGTGATGTTAGAAGCCTGGCAGGAAAGAAAAACAAAGAAGAATGGTTGCAGTCGCTGGGATCTCAACAACAGTGGCCACCCAAACTTCACTGTTACATAAACTTGGAGCTGTGAGTCTCTAGGTTCATTGTTCACCTGGAAATGGAGAAAGCTCCTCTTGAGCCTTTGCTGTCAAGGGTGGAGAAGGTTCTGTGCCTAAATTAATCCTCTCTTATAAACATGCTTCCAGAGTTTATGCAATAGGAGTTAGATGAGTCCCAGGAAAGCCCTGACAGGAGGAGAGCTCTCCAAGCAGGCTGTGCCATGGAGGCGAGCCAAGGATATGCCGTGGAATACGGATGGCAGGAGGACTGCTTCCCTCCTACCGACTGAGCTTGAGCACTGGGGTAGAGGTGGGTCTTCTACATCTTCTTTAGCTGAGAGTTACATCCCTGCTACTTCATGGAAAAGATAGAGCCCTGGCCCCCATAGGCAGGTCAGATCCACCATCCTCTTTGGAAGGAAAACCTGCAGCCAAAGCGTTTGGCAGGCTTCAGGCAAAATCCCCTTCTTTAAGAGAAGGTGCTCACTTTAATGTATCTTCCTGAATAACGCAGGCTATGCTGGACACCAGCCTGCCCACTTGTCCTAGGCTGCTGTAACGTGACGACAATGATAAACGGACTGGGAGTCCCACTTGGAGTAAATGATTACTGACAGGAGTCCAAATAAAACAGGCGAAACCAGAGCGACTGCGATAGGCTGTGGGTTAATGTGGTTATAAACCAACGAAGCAGGATCTAAAGCAAATGTGAAAGTGGTCTGCAGGGCTGGTTTCAGAGGAAACACTGACTGAGCAAAGAGTCTGCTGACATAGAGCTGGCTCAGCCAAACTCTACAGGTTTTAGAAAAGGAAGCTGAAGAATATACTATTCTCCGTGCTTCTCCTTTTCACTTTCTTTTTATATCTAGGCAATATTGCCTTCATCTGGAACATCTCCAGGGTGCTGCTCCTTGCATTCCCTGATAAGACCTCAGGATCTTGTACACTTGGCCTGACAAATGCATAAGGCTGCATGACAGTAATCTACCTGCAACTCATTCAGTAAGAAATCTTTTTGTTATTCTAGAATTACACAGGATTAGGAAATTGGTGCTATTCTCTTCTTTGCAATCCAAACTTTAGCTCTAAGCTACAGAGTCTTTCAGCTGGTTGCTGTGCCAGATTTTGCAGATTTTGTGGAGATGCCCTGAGGCCAGCTGCACAAGCACAGCATGTTCTCTCCGTGACAGCTGTAGTTGGGCAATCTGCAATGCTTTACTTTTATATTAGAGCAAAGCACAAAGTTTTAAACGTCTAAGGATTAATCTGTCACCAAGTGTCAGCCAGCTGTTTACCCCCAAACCGCTTTATTTAATGATTATTTCCCTGTAGTGCTGAGAGGCCCCAATAAGCAATTGGGACCTGATTGTACTTAGTCCTGTACAGAGGCAGCACAAAAGGGAACATTTCTGAAAAGCTTACAACTATAAGATGAAGAGAAAAAGAAAATCGATTAAACAGGTTTCAGCGTGGAAACCAGAGACAATATTGGTCCCGCGGTAGTCTGGGATCTGAGCACGTTTCCAGCCCGAACGGTGGCAGGTGCTTTCAGAGCAGCGTGGGAAAGCTGCGGGGTGGATTTTGAGAGGGAAGTTTGTTTTGTAACCGTGTGTGTTGCATTTTGGAGTTCAGCAGGCGGCTTGCACGTGCGTGGTTCAAAGTATGACAAGAACTTGTGACAGAGGTCACTATTGTCAGTCCTTAAGAGTGAATCATAGACCAGGAGGTGAGGTTAGGTCGTGAGCTCTTCGGTGTTTCCCTCCCTGCACAGAGCACTCGAGCAGCCCAGTGCTGGTGCTAACCCCAACCTTCCTGATGCCAGGGAAAAGGGGGTTTTCCCAGCAGTTTAGTTCTACCAGTCGGTGCCCAGAGTGAAGGTAAACCCCCTTCGCTTTCGCCGTGCATGTGCGCAGGGGTCACTAGCAAAGGCCTGGGCAGGCGCGAGCAGGAACCGTCACCCGCCGCCCTGGCCTTGTCAGGAGCAGCCGCCTTCTGAAGGGCAAACCCCACCGGGCTTCTAACAACGAGTTGTGTGTTATAGCAAGTCCTGGGCGCTGCGCAGAGCCACGAACTATCACGTTAAAGCTGTCGCTCGGGGTGTTACAGCCCATCCGTTAAGGGCCTCTGGTTTTTGCTCCCACTGCTGACGGAAGGCTCCCGGGAGCTCCCTGCCGGGGCGGGGGGGTCACAGCCGCCGCCGGGGGCTGGGGAGAGGCCGGGGGGTTCGCAGGGGACCCTCGGTAGGGAGAGGCC